TCGTGTTCCTGGAAAACCTGGAAAAATTGGCAGCTTTGGACGCAATTTCCAGTTACTGGAGTCTACTTTGAACGCGGCATAAATTTTTATGTAGCGTTTTCTAAATTCCAGTCTTTCAAAATTCAGGCCAGAAATTTTCTACGTTTTGAGCCAAATTTCTCATTTTAGTTTCCGTCCAGTTATGGTTTTGCAGGTCCCTAGTTACTAAGATAATAATAAACTTTTTAGAACTTTTTTTTTGAAATTTTAGACACGATTTTCAAACTCCCGGGTTACTGTAGAAACTAACCTTTAACTTCTTTGGCTTCCTCCAAGATTCTTTGACTTGTTTTCAGTCGTAGAGCTGCGAGAGCTGCAAATTAGTAGTCCAAATAAAAGAAACACAAAATAATTGAGAGATGGTGTCAAGTGCACCAAAATTTTGGTCGAATGGCAAGTGTACTCCAAGATGGGAGAGGGCAATAGACTGAGAGACGCAGAGATCTCTCTTCCCCATCTCGTATGCTCCGCCCCCTTGAGAGATATAGTGACTCGACGGCAACGCGGCGACCGCTGGCGGGAATACAGAAAGAGCATTGGTCACTCGAGAGACGCAGAGAAAAAAGCGGGAGGTCAAAAAAAGAAAAAACATAGGGATTGTGTCAGAATTCTGGACTATCAATAATAAATCGAGGGAATGCCTCAAGAAGTAAAAAAGAACGTCGACGTCGTGGGACAGAAGCTCCGCCCATAGAAAAATACATTTTGTTTGATGTAATGGAACCTAAGGCCAAGCTCGAGTAGTATTCGAATCATTTCCTCAAAATTTTAGTACAAAAAATCCGATTTGATTTGAAATAAGAATAGGCTTTTTCAAATATTTCTGAAGCGATTTGTTGAAGGAAAAATGAGTTCTGATAATTTTTGAATTTCAGGTAATTATTTTAAGGGATTTTGGAGTTTTTTAAAGGTATTTGAGGAGTTTTTTGAAAAAATTCGGGGTTCATCAAAGTATTGAACATTGCATTTTTCTGAATCTCTGTTTAAATAAGCTCAGACTGTTTTTTTTTCCAAACATTTTGAGCGGATTTTCCGGTTTTGAGAAAATACTGTAGAAATTTTTTTTTCAAATTTCTCGGAACTTTGGAAGGAATTTATAACTCAGTTATGTCAGTTTTCTTTTCATTATGAAAAAAAAGTAAATCACAAATGCCCAAAGAAATCGAAATTTTAGGAATTTAGAAAATTTTTCGCTCAGTTAGTTGAGTGAAAATTGAATTCCCTTAAATTTCTAAAATTGATCTTTTTTAGATTTTTGAGCATAACTTTGACATATATTTTTTTTAAGAAAGTTACGGAATTTTTGAATGTAGGCTCGTGGAGGAAAAAATTGCATTTTTCGGAGCTTCCGTTCATACAAATTTGTACGTTTTTTCGACAAAAAACAATAATTTTTAAGATTTTGGGATACTGTAGAAATTTCATTCGAACCTTCCAAAACCTTGATTTTTTAGGATAGCAAATTGATCAAAGTGATTTTCTGATAACTATGTGTTCAACTTTTCTCAGTCTTAAAAAAGCCAAGGTCCCAAAAACCAAAACCGAATGTTTGGGCCTAAAGTTTCGGTGCCAAAACGACATGATGCAAAGTACGTCCGTAGGCATTAACGCGTCACATAGCAAATCCTGTAAAAAAGTTCAAAAAACAGAAAAATCGGCCTGCCAAGCCACGCCTTGTTCTGCCTTGTGCAGTCGCGCTCCGTTCGATTTCACGTTCGGCCGTCTCGATGGGCAGAAAAAAGAAAAAATGGAAGATGAGGGACTGAGAAAACGATGAGAGACCAGAGAAAAAGAGAGAGCATTTTGTGGATGACCACAAGAGAAAAACAAGAGTCATTGGCGAGAGATAGCGTTGTGTCACTCTGAGACACAGACATCGGGTGTCGCGGAAGCGAGCAGAACAGACGGCAAAGCGTTGTGTTGGAGTGATCACAACGAGGAAGGAAAAGAACTGCTTGCCAACAAGAAGTAAAAGAATAAGAGGGAAAGGGGGAGGAGGTGATACAAATATCGGGACCCCACATGAACAGAACTTCTCAATTTGAATCTTATAAGATTGCCCAAAAAGACATACTACCCAACGATTCAATTTATTTCTTACCAAACAAAATATAATTTACTGACACTTGCCAATGTTTCAAAGTCATTTTGCGATGAGATGTTTTGGGGAGAATAGAATAAAAATATACCATAGGTGGGGCAATTTACAGTTCAAAAATGACTATTTTCGGAACCAAATTATGACTTTTTTGTCCACAGGGAAGATGAGAAAAAGGGAGACAAATATATAGATAAAGTTTACACAAACGAAAAAAATGGTTTTGTTAAATTAATCACAAGAATAGCTGACTACTCGAACGTTTCCCATCTGTGAGCGGGTAGTGGTGGTGGAGGCGCATGTACGGCCGCCGGAACAGCTGGAGCAGCAAATGGTTGCCCGGACGATGGACCAACCGAAGCGGGACGTCGTGGTGGTAGTGGTGGTGGCGGTTGCCATACAGCTGTATTAGCAGGCGTTGGATTGCTCTCAATCGGACGGATTTGAGTCCATTGTAGGCCTTGATTGAACTGAACAAGGTGAGGAGCAGATGAGCCGCTGGCCGGGAACGGCTGGGTCGATGAGCCAGGAATCATGCGAGGAACTAGTGGTGGAGGTGGTCGAGATGGCAGTGGTGGAGCTGGACCGTCTGGAGAAGTGGCGAATGGGTCGGCGAAAACGTTGTGAATGGGTTGTGATGGCGTTCTGAAAAGGGAACAGTTGAATTAGTATGAAAAATTGAGCATTCTAGAAATAACTGGCAAGAATTAGTTTAATATAAATTTAATTTTCAGAGCACGAATTTTGTGAAAGATATGAAAATTTTGTCACCTGATTAATTATTTATCATAATATCAGTAAAATTTATTAATTCACAACTTTTTAATATCTTTCACAGGAACCGAGAAAAATGGGCTTAAAATCTATGAAAATATGGCGGTATGGGTTTTTCCTCCAAGATTTTGAGATTTGAAATTTTGATATTACTGTAGTGAGACATTAAAAAATGTTTTTGTTGTTTCACTTATCGAAGCAATTGAACGAGTGACGCAAATTTCTCATGCTACCGCGCAGCTACAGTACCTACAAAGTCGCAAAGTCGGCTAATAACCGTTGAAATTCAAAAAACTGTAATGTCGACTTTGATCTCATTTACCTTGATTACTAGGAAAGATATCAAAAATTTAAAACAAATATCTGATTTTATTATAAATAGTTTTTAAGTTAACAGATATCAGGGATCGAGATAATGAAGCTCAAAGTCGACGGTTTGGATAGGCTCACGGTATTTCATCTTTCTTAATGAGTATTTTCTCTCATTTTCCTAGATTTTACAACATAATTTTGGTAACTACCGTATCCGTTTTTTTCCATTCCAAAAAAGTTCAATTTTTCCGAGCAGCAAGCTATACGAAATCGTGTTTTGTGACCATTAGTCTTCAAGACACAAATCTGACTAGACATCTTCTCGTTTCTGCTTCCTTCGCTTTTCAGTAGTCACTTAATTGATGGGGAACAATAACTCCGTGCATATTGGAGTGGTTAATCTCCAAATTTGGGGGTCAACAACTCATTGAGAATAAGGGTCTTGTTCTTTAATTTTTCTTGATAATCAACATTTTCGAAAATTAGAAAAATTCCGGAAAGACTATTCCGAACATCTTCACTTCCTCTTATTCTTCCAAGCTTTGATAAATTTTCCTCTCGCTCATCTATAGCTACCGCATTTCGTTTCAATTTCAAAAGATCATTTTTCTGCGAGTTGCTAGCGAGTTGCTATACGAAATCGTGTTTTGAACCCATTAATTTTCTAGACCAAGATATGACTCGACATATTTTTGTTTTCGTTACCTCCGCTGCTTAGTAATCTCAAAATTGAGGGGAAAGAGAGCCCCGGCGTCAATCCGAGTCAGTTTAATCACGATTTCGTAAAGCTCGCAACTCGGAGAAAAGTACATCACCAAATTTGAGGGTTCAAAAGAACATTAAGCGCGCGTGTGACTCTATCCAGGCGCCATCCGAGTATAAACTTGTTTTGATACAACGAGGTGTCTGGCTGGTTGTTATGGCATGCAAATTTGAAGAATAAATCTTACTTTCTATTTGTGGGGAGCTCTGCGGGACGAAGAAAGTATTGCTCATCGACGGAAGTGAGACCGCTCGTTGTTGGTCCATCGAAATCGATCAAATTGGCGACTGGTACATTGTCGTGCGGATTTTCGATAGCTTTGTCCTCTTCTCCCTCGTCTCTCTGAAAAAACATCGCTTGATTTTTGTCGGGAATATCACAATTTTCCTACCGCTGCCTCCCATTGAAGATTATCAAACGACATTGGCGGTGCCTCAACTCCATTCTGTGTCGATTTCTTTTTTGCAGCCGCTTTTCGGATCTCTCGAGGCGTCAGACGTTGTAATCGGCTGGCAATCTGTCATATTTAGTTATATTCTCAGTTAGACATTTTTGTCCTAATATTACCTGGAATCCAGAAGTTTTCAGTGCACCGATTACATCGCTGGCATTCTCCTTGACCTGGAATTCAGAATATTTAGATTATTTGAAGATGAGCATTTCAAAAAATTAGAATCATGCAAAAGAGAAAACTGAAAATTTGAGATGATAGACACTTTTAAAAACACTTTGAAAGACCCAACAACACAAGTGTCTTACTGTGTGTATTGTGGAGTGTACCACCGGTTCTTGAAGCTCAATCTGAATGGGTAGAGGTTGCATTCCGAGGTTAGGAAGGGGGTAAGCAGGCCGAAAGGAGTACTGTACTCAGTATTCAAACTCACCGGTCGATTCTTCAAATCCATCTGTTCGATTTCAATTTCAAACTGATCTCCTGGCATGTGTCCCTCCTTGAACACCTCGAGACGGTCATGGATGAACTGAAAAATCAATAATCGTAGGCATGTGACTTTCGTCTGCAATTTGTGTTGTCCAGTCAAACCGGCCGGCCGGGGCAACGATTAACACAAATTTAGGCAATTATGCGTTTTTTTAGTTTGTATAGTTAAGAATAGTGGTGTTTTTAGCGGAAAATAGTGTATTTTCACACGAAATTTAGAAAAAATTCATGAAAATTAATGGATTTTTTATCGAAATAGAACCAAAAACTGGGATCAATAAGGCGTTTCGGTGCTCAACGATGATGTTTGGATTCTTTTTTTCACACAAGACCTTAGAATTTTATGTTTTACTGGTATATGATGCTGGCATAACAGTATTGGGCCAGTGCGAAGAGGAAGACTGCTACTGGCCCACCGGACCATATATGTATTCTGCTGCGGTCATTGTTTTTTATAGATTTTGAGTTTCTGGACTAGTTTTTTCCAGATGGGCATATGAAAAATGTCAAAGCATATTACCGAAGCCCAACCTATTGGTGAAAACCGTCATAATTTCAAGAAAGACAGTTGGAAAACTTGAAATGACTTAAAAACTAGTTAATTTTGTGTGAAGTTGAGCAATCGACATTGATACCAGGATCATTTCGTTGCTTGTTTCTAGAGCAGGCTTTAACGAAACTTGAGGACATACATTTTTGGTTGGATGTGTTATATAAACTCGTTTTAGTTTAATTTAGCAAGATTAGGAGCACCGTCACGGTGCAGAAGACTCACCGATGGTCAAATGAGCCAACGATTCTCCACCGCCCTTGGTTTTTCTATATCTATGAGCTCTGCATGAAAACTCGGATTTTGGCCTGGTTTTTTCATAGATTGGCTTGTGAAAAATCTCGAAATACATCACCAATGCCATTAAAACAATCATATTTTCAAAAATAACAGTCATGTTGGCGGAAAATCGACTATTTCGTCACAAGTGGTGATAAATCAGGTAATTTTTGTGTGACTACACATCAAAATTGAGCGGGTATCTGATTAGGATGAAACAACAAGGTCCCGAGAACTTCGTATTTTTTTTCACATCATTTTTGCGGAAATTTGTAATTTTTCGATTCAAAACACCAAAAATGACTCTAAAACCGGTTATTTTTTCTCAAATAGGATATTCGGAGCCGATACCAAGATTATTTTGTTGGTTGGCACTAGAGCGGATTTTATAGGAACTCGAAGACATAAAAGTTTTAATTTCTGGGTTATTGGAGCTCGTTTCTGTCTGAAATATAAATTTGCATCACCACCATGGAAACGAAAACTGACTCCTGGCCAACTGGACCAACGACTAGTCCCGGCCGGAACCAGGAATCTGGGCACCGGATCAGGTTTTCTATTTTCATTAAGGAATTTGTCAAAATTGAAAACTCACTCTCTCCAAGTACTGAACCCCATCGGCACCTAGCAACGACTCAATGTACGACTGATACGACGGTCTCTGATTGGCGATAAATCTCTCCTTGTTGAACTTCAATGTACTCGGAGTCTCTCCCACAAATCCACTGGTATAGTCGCCAAAGAGAAGAACCATGGCACGCAAGAAGTGCTTAGCAAAGGTGTCATCCATGGCCAACTGCGATCGCAACTGTTGCTTCAAGAAGGCGACGACTTCAGCTGGCATTGCCGCCACGTCATCATACGGGCTTGTCAAAGTCTTCTCATCGATGTCGACAATCACAACGTCTCCTATGTCACGTAGATTCAACTTCTGAAGGTTGATTAAGTTAAGTAAAGGGAATCGGAAGGATTGATTAGCTTACCGCGTTGTCGAGCACCGTCTTCGGGACTCCGATCAGATATGGCATGGGTGCCATGACCATGTCAACCAAGGGTTCTGGAAGGATGGTGATGAAGACGGATTGCCTGGAAGAGAGATCTTATGATTGTAGTCAGTACTTACTAAGTATGAAATAAATCTCTACGCGCAGTCAGGTATGTCGGAAACAGTGCCGCGGCTTTCTCGATGTTTTGTTTCTGGGATTTGTAAAATTGGGAAGCCTAGCGGCCTTAGTAATTGCTTGGTTGTCAGTGCTAATTTCCAAAAGAGTGAACAATTTGAACCAGTGAAACATACCCACGGCCCGAGCCGCGTACCGACAAGCTTGTGTGAAGCTATGCAATGCTATTTTTCTGATAACGCCAATTTGTCCGCATTATTGCCCCTTTAATGATACTCACCAGCACATTGGGTAAAGCAACATCGAGACAGCATGCAGACAAGAGCTCAGTGTTCCAACTTTCCGTCCGGTGAACAAGATACGTCGCTCCTTCAGAAGACTGGCAAAGATTGCAAGCGTCTGTCGTGGATCGATGGCATTGTAGAACTCGAGGAAGTACTTGTCCGAACTCAATGTTGGCAGTCGAGTTGGGTCTGGAATCTTCTCGGCGAATACAATTCGATAGTTGTGCTGAAAAAAAAACAATGTTTTTTAAGTGCATACTTGTCAAATTCCAGGCCAACCCAGTTAACCGGCTCGGCCAGGCCCGGTCACTGCAGGTAGCAATATTTTGAAAAATCATCTATCGAATTCCATTTTGAAGAAAATGTCTTGAAATATTCATAAAAAGCTTTTAAAAATTCGCAAGGACTTCAGAATTTGAAATTTTCATAATCAGACCAGAGCCGATAGGGCCGGGCCAGATCGGAAAATTTTTAGTTTCGACACAGCCAGGCCCGGCCGTGAAAAGTTTACTTAAATGTGCCGAAATTCATTTTGCTCTTTTGTTTTTAGCTTCATCTTCATCCATAATTACCTTTGGATTGTGGTCGACGAATCGAAGATACTCATCAATGTTTGGTATGTCCGTGTGATAGAATTTTGTGAGCACCGACTCGACGTCCTCCTGTTGAGCGGAACCCATAACCAATGAGATGTCGTTGAGCGCCTTGAAGAAAACATTTGGCCAGAAGAATCCGCTGGAAATATGTAATTTGAAGTTTGCTACGCTGCTGAGAAATCGCTAAATTAGTGAATTTTCATTCTTCGTCTTGAGACCCGACGTGTGTGTCGATTTAAGGATGTTGTGTTGATTCACGGCGGATAAAGGATGGAATAAATTAAAAATTATTGTTATACTCAAATCGATTCAAATCTAAAATCCTTGAACCTTTCAGAAGTCTCTAAGATCCTTAGAAATCCATAAAGTCACATCGTTCCGGGAAGTATTTTTATTCCGGTTTTTTTTCATCAGTTTCGTATGTGATTTCCTATGACGACACTGGTTTTTTAACTTTTCATCGCTCAGAAATTCTTAGTTTTCTTTTTCTCAATTTTTTCTCTCAATCCCACGCAAATTTCTGGAATGCCTAGGGAACAAACGAGATTATTAATTGAATTTTGCCCCTTTTTTCCTGCATTTTTGTGCTGTTTTTACAAAAAATTTGGACAAACATTTCCCTGCGATTCCAAAAAATCGATACCAACCTCAAGAAGCAAATGCACGTGTCGGTCCGCGGTGTGTAACGACAGAATCCGAAGGAGAATTTGGAATTCGAGTCGGTGAGAACGAAACTGAACAGCTGGACGGCATCAACTTCAACACTGAAAACGATGAATCAGCTTGTGAGAAAAGTTTCAAGGTACTTACTCTTTGAGCTGGCATGGAAATGCAAACTGTTGAATACTTTTGACAATTGATGGATCGTGAAAATCATCTGGATACTTGAATCGAAGCGATGCACGTTTTTCACCTAGTTTTGGAGCACTAAGTTCGCAGAATACGTCGTACAGCGTTGCCACATCGCTTCTATAACTTTTTCAATTGAAAAATCTTCAATTTACCTTTTGAAATCACCTGTATCGTCCATATGTCATGTGTATAGTGTGAGCAAGATTGAAAGAAGGCTGTGTGCGCAGTCTGACGGGAATATCTAGGAAGATAGAGGAATTTAATAAAGCAATGGGGGTATGCGTCAGCTATCCATGTGAAACAAAAAAGAAAAAGTGGTGTGAGCGAAGTGGCGAAATCGGTTTATTACAAAAAATCCGTGCGCGCAAGAAACGCGCCAACGATTGGTGATTGGTGCGTTTTTCGTGCGCGCGTTATGCGCAAAGAGGCGAACGACACACAAAGCAGACGGGGGAAAAAAACGGACGAGTGGGAAGAAAAAGAAGAAGACGAAAAAGAATGGGTATAGAAGGCCAGATGGATGGGGAGGACTGCCAAGGCGTGAGAGAATGAATGGGATGAAATTAGTGATCCAAATGAAAAAAACGGGGCAGAGGAAAGAAATGAAAAGGACTACTGTGGTGCCGGCCAACGCGAGACTCTGAATAGAAAATTTAGAATAAGTAAGGCAAAGAGAAAACAAAAAAAAACAAAAAAACTGGCATTTCTTATTTTTTCGAATCACAGAGTCCGTTTTTTTTTCTAGTTGTGTGGTATGGGGAGGGACTGCTGTCAGAGACATAGAAGAGATAAGAAAATAAACTTTTAAAAAAATCAAAAAACTTCTAAAAAGCATGGAAAGAAGGAGTGCACTAGTTTTGACTTTTTTTGGGGAGTAAAAAACAGCGAAGGGCTTTAAAACAAAGTCGTTTCGGCTCATTTTCGAAAATTTTATGGTTGAAATGTGGTCTTTTTTGACATAATAGCCCATTTATATACTGGGGTGGTCAACTGGTGAGACTACGGTAGAAAAGGGAAAAAAAAAGATTTAGAAAAGAAAAAAAAATGACTATTGGCACCAGGGCTACGGTAGGAAAAATGAGGAAAAAAAAGAATATAAATGTTTCCAAACAAACAATTTTTGAAATTCTGTATATTGGAAAATTCGAAATTCCGAGAAAAAATATCGAAATTTTCAGAAATTCTGAAGTTCTGAAATTTTGGAAAAAAAAATTATTTTTTTAAAACTTTGTAATTTTCCAAACTACAATTCTTCAAAAATTCGGAAAATTTTAAAAAATTGAATGAAAATTCAGAAAGTCTAAAAAAGCATAAGAATTAGTCAAAAAAATCTCACTCTTTAGAATTCTTTAAATTCCAAAAATTCCCAATTCCAGAGAAAAAACCGTAATTTATGAAAATTCTGAAATGCAAAAGTTTCCAAAAATGCAAAAAAAAGTTTTTAAAAATGTTAAAAAGATTCTGAACTGAAAAAAAAGTTTTGAAAATTCCAAGAAAGTTCATAAAACAACGAGCAGTTGGTTCAAATTCGTTTATCATTTTCGTTCAGCAAAAAAAATTATTTTCCCAAACTGAATGACTCAAATTCGGACAGTTCACTGATCAAAATGTACTATGAACTCTGACTCAGCCCGGATTCCCATTCTGTACATTCTATTAAACAATTTTATAGGCTTTCTATAAAGAAAAATTTTGGGACTATCTTACTGTTTGCCTAGAACCGGGCAGCTGTCTTCTAAGGACGACTGCTGCCCACAGAGTGCCAGTCAGTGCTCATATATCCTTCTTGACCGTCGTATGTTTCCGGGCGGAGACATTCCTCAGAGAAAAAAGGAGATTATGAGAGCAACAAGACCTGACACATAATCTGGAAATCTTTCGATCCTCTCAATCTCTCACGCTATTCTCAGGGTAGAACCTTACATAATGACCGAAAACTGAGGAATAGTGACGAGTATGGAAAACGTAGGCGTTTTTGAGGCTGAAATGAGAGACGACGGAACAAACTGAACAACTAAACGGCAAAAAAGTTTATGGCAAATCGGGACACAGCGCGAGGAGGAGAGTTAATATAGTGCGTCCTTCCGTCGGTGCTGGTGGTACACTGTGCAATTGAAAGAGAGTGGCGAAAAAAAGATAGACGAAATGAATAAACATGGTGGTTGTGAGGAATCGACAAAGCGTACTACTACTACTATTACTACAACGTACAAAACTCGGAATATGGTCAGACCACAGTGAGTGACCTCTTCCGAAAAAGGTATTACGAAAGAAAATGAGGAATAGAATGGGAAAGATGAAAGAGGAAAGGAGGTGGGGCTGTAAAAAAACCGCCAGACTAGTATAGCCATTAATTTCGTCAGTCTGTCAGAAAATAGACATACTGAAGGAGAATCGCCATGCAACAGCGACATTGTTTCTGAGCAACCGTGTGCGTAGTTTTAGAGTTTTTACAAATGACGTTTTAGGAATATTAAGTTTTAAAATTTTCAAAAAAGAAGTTTGAAAAAGAGGGAATTTTGGGAAAAAGATCCAAATCAACAGTTGTCGAAGTAAAGCTAGAAAACCCAGTCAATCTCAGAAAACAGAAAAATTGGTCTTTTTTTTCCAAAGATGACCATCAGGAACGTTGTCAATGCAAGAAAATAAATAGATGTTTGTATGCTACATTTATAGAAGCCACATTCCTACATTGGAAAACCACACATGGCAAGGTGTGAGTGAGGCCATGACCTCTTTCTTTTTCATAAAAACAATAGTGGAAATGAAAAGTTACTGTTAGGATATCCCTTATAAGAGAATTTTAACTTCTGTGGGATTAACGAAAAGGGAAAAAAATTTTGACATTTTTTTCTTTCTACTTTTTTTCAATTTTCAGAGTTTTGAATTTATAGAATTTTTGTCTTTGAAAATTTGAGATTTAAAAACAAAAACGAAAATCAGTAAATCGGACAGAATTTCGATTTTTGGACAATTCCAATTTTTAAATTATTCAATCAGACACAGTTGTCCAAATTTTCAAAGTTTGGAATTTTTAAAATTTTATTAGAAATATTTTAATCTGAAAAAAATGATCTTTATTCCGAGTATTTATTGACGAATAAATATTTTCACAAGACTGAATAAATATAGGTACATTAAATCGATTGAGGAGTATATATATATATATATATATATATATATATATATATTAATTTAGGAGAGTTCAGGGCAAATAGATAAATAGGTTTTTTTTGCATTTTACGCATACATATATGTTGATTAAGGATTAATCCAGAATTTATCGAATCTGGGGAATATTGAATTTGGAACGGGTAGATTGAGGAATTTTTTCAGTAGGGGGTAGTTTAGAGTGATGAATAAAGTGTTTTGTTAACATTAAAGATTATACGAGTTATTGCGGTTGTTGGGTGGGAAACGGAGAAGAACAAAAATTGGAGGAAAAAAGAGACAAGAAGAGTTGTGACAGGCTGTTATCAGCAAAACTGACTTGATGGCAAAAGTGTGGCTTGTCACGTTAGAGTTCTAAAACATCAATCTTCTCTTTCTTCTCTTTTAAAAGATCCAAATTGTACTCCAAGTTCTTGAAATGTTGTGACTTTTTGAATTGAATGAATGTGTCAAACATTAAATGAAGTGACTCGATGAGACTGTCTCCAACAGGAATATCAACAAGGTTGAGACACATTTCAGCGTACGTAGCTAAATCGCAGTCTATCTCAGCAGGTGGCGCCTAGAACAGAATAGAATACATATGGTTATGGTCACTCGGTTTTCACTCACTCTAAGATTTGGAGCTGCTTTCTGAATTTGAGCAGGAAGCTCTTGCATGGTATCCTCAACGGTTTGGCTGATGGTTTTGTAGGTGACAGTTGACTTTGGCACATTTTTACGGTGCTCCTGAAATATTTCATAAGATTGAAAGCATAAAAAAAAAGATATGCTCACCTTAACATCAGCGATCCATTTGAGAATCTTATCTGGATTCTTATCAGCGTTATGCAACACCTTCACTGGAACATCATTATCTAACACCTTTGAATCCTTGACCGCATTGCGAATCTGCATGTCGACGATTGTAGCGTCGCTCTGCTCACAAGGTGGCTCGTCTCTTTGCGTGAGGCCCGCGTTATCGTCAATCTAAAATTCAAACAGATGGCATAAACATGTTTGTGAGATGAATTCCGGACGTACGTCGTCTGGACGAGGCACTTTGACGAATAAGTCGACGTCGCCATATGCTGGCATGTATTCAATGTCGAAGGGCTTAAGCTTTGGTGTGAGCTGGACTTCCTGGGCTTTGTACGCATCCACATAGGATAGTACGGTGAGTTCCTCGCTTGTGAATCCTGAATTATTCATTTTCTTGGTTAAAAAAGTTTCAATTTTTGTCTAATCGCATAAATATTTTCTAATAAAATTGTTTATTTCCGTTTTATCTTATGAATATCAGTTCCTTTTAATTCTCTAATCGAATCTCAAGGGATTCCGATTTTTTTTAGATCCGATGAATTTTCTTGAACTTTCGAACATTATGTCATCTAATAGAATGTCATTGAGAAATTTGATCATTTTACCTCGAGACATGAGGAGAAATATGCCTCAAAACTAATTAGCCTATATGGATAATGTCACGCATCGCGAGTAATCGAGCCAATTCGTTATTGTCTCAATTTTCAGAAGAAAAATTCAGAGAAATTTGTTCAAGAAGAGGCAGAAAACTAAATAACGAAAAAATAGTGAAGGGATATGACATTTTTCTTACCCTCATTAGAGAGACTCTCCGCATCATCAGAGCTTCTAGAATTATCCCGAATAATGCTGACTCTAAAAAATTAAAATAATTGGGTCCACAATAAAAGTCCCTACTTGGCCATTTGTTCCTCGACTTGGGAGACAAGTCCACCACGCGACATTCTTCGGGAAGCTGAGCGGAACGGTGGAGCCGTTCCAGCAACATTAGTGCTGGAATAGGCTGGTGGTGAGCCTGGTAGTTGTGGAGCTGAAGAATTATAGGGATGAAGCACAAATTAGAAACAATTAGAGTTGGCTCAGTGGAGACAGCAAAAAAAACAAAATTAAAGGAAATTTACCTGACGTATCAATCATGTCTTCGAACTCGTTGTCTAAGTCGCCATGAGCAGCCATTGGATTTATGAGTGCCTAAAAACGTGTAATTTAGAGTGTGCCGTATACTAATGGCCTGAAAGACGGCCCACGAGGTTTGCGTGGATTAATTACAGGATACAAAACTGAATAATATTGGTTGGTGTACTTAGTCTCGTATGATTCTACGAAGAGTGCAACCAACGGTCTTCAAGATGGCAATAACAATTCGAGTTCAACTGTCTCGGTTTCTATAAGAAATATCAAAAATCTGTCAACTGATAAAATATGGTGACATTATGATGAACAGTTTATCAGTTGACAGAACTTTGATATCTCTCGGAAGAGCCGAGATAATTGACCTCAAAGTGGACTATCTAGTGCGCTCTCATGAAAGAAAATACTGTATTTTAAAAATTGAACATTATTTTATACTTCATTCAAAAAATAGGAAAAAAAAATGGATTTTTGAAATACTGTAAGTCTCAAATTAACAGATTTTGTTCAAAGAAAGGTGAATGAGGATTTCTGAGAAATGAGAAAGATACAAAATGTGTCTGTCTCGTGGCGAAGAAGCCGTTCAATACTAAACAAGTGCCACATATTGGGAGGCGTTGCTGTGAAAATGTAAATTGAGGAAATAAGGCTTTTTTTGGGAAGTGTTTAGAAGAAAATGTGCTCTATTGAACTCCATGGCTACCGTACTTGCTATAATAGAAGGTTATCCGGACACGTGCACTTGAAGCGCATTTTCCTAACTTGCTATAAAAGATATCATGAATTCGTCAACTAATAAAATGTTTTTTGTAATATCAATAACATTTTATCAGTTGATCACTTTTTGATATCTTTTGGAGGAATTAACATAATTTAGCTTGAAGACACACACAGGCTGGGCTTCTAAGAAATTAAATACGGTATTCTATGGGTACTGCGGCAGATATTGAGATGGCAAAGCTTTGAACAATTTTTATCATAAAATCAGGATTTTTAAAAATTACAGAATAATGTAGCTTTTGTAAACATAAATATTCTAAATATCTCGTTTTAATTTGAAAAGTAAGAATGATATAAATAATTTGAAAATCTCTCAAATCACGCTATTCAATCTACACACCGATTCCCATTCATCTTTAATCCGAGAAGGAAAAGAAAATGAACATTGTAGTCTTATGAGGATTTTTCTCCATGGCGACGCCCACCAAACAAAAGGACAACACGAGGGGCTTAGCTCGTGCTTCTTCTCTTCCTTCCCTCTCCCAGGAAGCCAGGTTCCCACATGTACATGGGAGTGTGTCTTTGAAGACATAATAAGCCCCTCTTTCACATCTGGATACACACTCACCTCAATGTAGCAACGGGTACGAGGAGTGGGCTCCGGTGACGATTGGTAGGATTCATTGCCACGTGATTCCGGGGTTGTTGGGAGCGGATTCAAATCTAAAGCAAAAAATACATATCAAGAACCTAAAATTACTTTAATTACTTCTTCTCCACATGTTGGATGGCCCTCCTCCGGACGGATTATAGAGCTCTCGTTCCTCCTGACGAATCAAATCCCTGGATGCGAGCTCCTCTAGCTTTTGAAGGGCAGAATTGCTCAGTCGGAATCCGCGAGACAAGTTGGTGTTGGCTTGCTGTTCATACGGTGACGTGATCACTGTTCCTCCTCTGTATGAGATCTGAAATTAAGAATAGTTAGGTATAGCCGATTCAGATTATAACTTGCTTTAAAAATATCCGAATTTTCGAAACTGAGTGCCGTAAAAACTGTAATAGAACACCACTCTTTGTTTGCACTTTGAGCTCAATTACTTTGAGAAAAATCTCGATTCTCAAATTGCAAGTCTAGGGTAGCATTTTCATACAGTGTTCACCTAGCTAGTGGTAAAGAAAATTGGGGGAATTCAAGTATGAAAAAAGAGGAGATTGCAAAACCACTGGAGCTCACAACTCAAAACCGGCAAAATGAGTCTTAATCCACCGGATCCGAGTATTTATACGCACTCTAAAAATGGGTATTACAAAAAAGCTTAACCAGAAGTGTGACACGAGAATCGGCACGAGGACTGGCACGAGAATAATAATAGACGGATCAGTGGTGGCTAATGGAAAAGATTAACTTCTTTTAGGAATCTACAGAATCCAAATGAATAGAGCACTTAACGGATTTGCACTTCTCACTATCAGGTGACTGGATACTCATAATCGGTGGTCTTTTGGTACTCTTTACTGACTATTCAGAAAATCGAAATTTCAATACATACTTGCTCTTCCCTCAATTAATCAAAAAATTGAAGTGAGAATAAATTTGAAAATTGAGATCTCCAAACTTCTGATTGAGCTCATCAAAGTCAATGCTTTCAAATTGAATTTTTCGGTTTTTATCCGAGCTATGATTGGACTAGTGGTTGGGGGTCATGTAAAGGAACTAGATAAGATCGCGAAGTCACCAGAACTTACAACCCAAAACCGGCGAAACGAGTCTTAATCCGGCAGACGTGGGTATTTATAGACCCTCTCGTGGGTATTTATAGACCCTCAGAGGTGTGACGGCCCATACTCCCAGGGGGCATCGAAATAGGGGGCATCGTGCTCAAAGGGGGCATTGATAGTCTCGTAGGGGTCATTGAGATCAATTTGAGTATATGATTCTGAATATGATGAATTTTTATTTTTACATCTTTTTCGTAGTTTTTTTAGGAAAACAAACACAATTGAAGACTATCGAAGGTGTTATTTCGGAGAGTCAACTGGGTAGAATTTCGGCAAATAGTTCGGGGGTTCAATGATTCGGGGGTACAACTCATTTCATTCAGGGGTATAATGCTTGTGATTCGGGGGTACAGTTTTTTTTTTTGAGGGAGTTTCTGAATTCCTGAATTTCAGAGCTTGAAAATCTCAGAATTCTTAGAATTTCAGAACTTTGAAATTTCAGTATTTCGGAATCTGAGAATTTCAGAATGTTAGAATTTCAGAACTTCGAAATCGCAGAACTTCAGAATCTCAATATTTTTGAATTTTTAAAAATTACGACAGAAAATTTTCACTTCTCATTGTCAAATTGTTCTTTTTGATTTTGTGTCATATTTTTCACTCATTATGAAAAAAAATTGTGAAAATTGTGCTGTACTGAAAGGCATTATTTTTTTTTGAATTTTTGAGTCTCGAAATGTCAGGAAAGTATACAACGGAGAACTGTAAAATAATCTTGACAAGTTTTACAAACTCAGGACTTTAAAGGGGGACTCCGACCAAAAATTTTTATTGCCTTAAAATGTTTCAAAAAATATATTGTTTTCCTAATATTATTGCAAAAAAATTTTAAAAAAATACCGTAAAACCTCTAATAGAACGACACCCGGATCGTCCACTTTGAGCCTCACTTTTTTTTTAG